ATATATATATATATATATATATATATATATATATATATATATATGGAAGTATTAAATGGAGTACTCGGCGTTGACCGGGTTTGTATTTGACGAAGTAAAGTTGACATATTCATACAATTAAGAAGATAAGAGTGGAAGCTCACAGAATAGGTCCGTCCTTGACCACAATTAAATTCACAATTCAATGCACGTGCAAATTTCAGCTCTCTGTTAAAGACTGTGGTCGTACACAGACCCTCTACCACCAAATTTAGGTGTTTTTTAATATTCTCGGGGCTATTTACAAAAACAACCCAAATTTCATTTCTAACTTAAAAACTGTGGCCGTGCATAATACGGGGATGGGGGCCGACGACTGGGGCCAAGCCTCAAAATTCCACCTTCAGAATACTTCTGGTAAAGGTTGATAAGATAAATATTCCCTGTAACTGAACATACTGTATAAGCTAAAACACACACAAATAAAAGTCCAAATGATTTTGTCTGTTGTAAAATGAGCGTTCTGGCATCCATGCTGAATGTTTTGTTCGACAATTTATTTATTTTTTCATCGTTTTTAGGGTTATTAACCTGAATTTTACTGAGGGTTTGGATTATAATGTGATTGATTTGATTTATAGTGGTGCTGAGTAGGAGGGTGATTTTCTATGTTACGTAAATGCTGGGGCTGGGCCTATGTCTGGCAAGTTGGTAGTGGGCGTTAACGGCGAGGCAAATTTTACATACTTTATGGCTCCTGGCACACTTTACCCAGAGCCAGCCCCAAAATTTCCACCTTCTGGGCGTTTCTGGGGTACATGCTCATCTCCATGCCGTATTTCATCTCATTTCTTCAAAATTTCAGCCGTGCATAGTGGACACACAGACAGACAGTGCACATATACAGTATACCTTACCTGAATCTCAGACACGAACTTGTACTCCTCCCACACATGGCCGGGCAACACGCCCACACCCACCCCCAAACGCTGGTACTTTATGCTGAGGCCATCCACCACACCCATGCCCACTATCAGCAACAGACTCTGCCACGCCTTCTTCAGATTCTTCCACGCCATCTCCTCGTTTATCTGCATCTATACCTTTTGTCAAGGAAAGCAATTGATTGATATCATCATGTTATTTTCTAACACGCAGGTAACCAATAAGAATCAAACACGAAAAGCGTCAAACGTTTTCGTGATTATTTACCTCCATAGGAAATACAGTTGGACTCCCTGGAGATGTAAATAGTCGCGTAAGAGCTTGGATCTTTTCGTGTTTCTCTTTCCTTGTGGTTACCTGGTTATCATAATTATGTATTGCATGTCTGATCTTTGTGCATGTATATAGAAGGTATATATCATTGTCACTACCGCAGTTCAGACTTGGCTATCATGGCACTACTGCTGCTATATACCGATTGAGGCTTTTGTGCTACAACCACTGTCCATATCCTGCAGCTATGGCACTTCCCTTTCTAAAGCTTAAGACCTCAGTGCCACTACCTCTGTAAAGAAGATGAAGCTTGGCACTATCCTTTGAGACCTCAGTGCTGTTACCACTGTTTGCACGGTACACTCAGAGAACTTGCGAGAGACCGTCTGACCTCCGTGGACACTGAATGCCACTACCACTGACATCGTCGACAGTGCCAGCCAGCGTCACGTGGTTTTATTGATCTTCCTTCACCGACCACATACGCCTAGAAGAAAATAAATAGAAAAATATAGAAAACACATGAAAGATAAAGAGAAGAAGAGAAAGGTAGAAGAACGAAAAAGAGAGAAACAAAAAGAGAGAAGATATTACAATGAAACTTTAGTCACCCTTAAAATATTCTTCGGAGGCCTCAATGGAGCGCTGAATCCCCTCCTCCCATTTTTGGAAGCGGATCTGGAAGTCCTTGTTGGTGAGGCTGGAGAACACCTTCTGCGACGTGTCCTGAATCTCTCTTCTGTTCATGAACTTCTTCCCCTTGAGGTTCAACTTGAACTTCGGAAACAACATGGCATCTCAGTGGCCCCCCACCCTCCATACTCTCCAGATCAGGCCCCCTGTGACTTCTGGCTGTTTCCGAAGCTCAAGTTGAATAGTTTTTGGATAATTTTTGAGTCTGACCCGTGTTATGTTCAGTCCTTCATCAAATACTAACCCACGTACTAGAAACTTCCAAGGAATAGTTTAAAATCAATGGCCTCGTGTCGTAGGTCATATCTTAATGGAATAGTTATTCATAAATTTTATTCAAAGAAAACCAAAACACGATACAATAATGTTACAGAAAACGACTAAATGGAGAAACTACAGTATCTTATGATAGGGATTTTTCGATGGTCATATTTTGTAATCAAGGGCAGATCCGAGGAGGGTTAGGGGGTGTGGACCTCCGTTATAATTTATATTTTTAGTGTAAGTGAACGTCATTGTAACATCATTATTTCTTCCTAATACCCACCTTCTGAAAATTATGGATCCACTCTTGGTAATTATGAACTAAATAGACTATTTCCGCTTCGCAGGTTCAAAGACATACACAGTAATAAAACAGTACTTTACTGTTTCATGCATGTCCTATGTTTTTTTTAACCTTATGTAACTTTAAGCAGGAATCTTACTTTTTGGTGATCTAAAATACGAAGGTGATTAGCCTGTTGTTGGGTATTATTGATGGTTTTACCTGTACTAGCTCACCCTGATATCACTAATGTATTAATAGTGTACAAATTTGGATTGGTGTGATCTTCAACCTCGACTCTCGAAACACCCAAATCCTACGTTATTTCCTCGTCTAATACGCGCTACATCCTGAGGGCGGCGTTTTCGTCCTGCCCTTCAGACAGTGCTCCTGCTAAGTTCCACCCTGGTCCTGTGACTATTTCACAATATTTTCCGATACTCTTAGCAACTACGAGCAAGAAAAATACTTAACGCTTGTGTCTTAACTCAAGAAGGCAGATATAAATAAATCATTCAGTTCTCAGCAAGGGGGTGTTCTCTCGTTCAAAAAAGTAAATGACGATTCAAATAAAGCAGAGGCAAGTGTTCCGCTTTTTTATAAAAGAGCATTTTACACTTTGAAGAAGTGGATTGTTTGATTGAATTTTGTAAAGGTTGATAGGAAAGATGTAGAAGCCTTAAACTTCGACGATTATAATGTAGAGATGTAGTTTGAAAAGGTGATGGCACCACAATATATTAAAGACCTTAAAGCTCGGATTCCACTCACATGGTAGCGGTAGCAGTAGCGTTAACGCCAAAAATGGATCATATTGAAATGTACGGTTGTTTCCATTGGCACGGTTGCGTTAGCGTTTTGCGTTTGCGGTACATGTCAATCTCTCCCTGTAGCGATTGAAAACACAACCGCGTGGAAACGGGCGAGGAAATCCCACACTGTGACGTCACTATCCCTGTGTTTGCTCTCCTTACCCAGCAAAATGCCTCGAGGAAAAAACCCAGCTTTCTGTCGAGGAGACTGAAAATTTGATTTATATAATACCTAGCAAGTGTTATTTCATAACTCATTAACCATCAATCTTTATATATCAGGTTGCGAGATCCATACATTTTTGACATAACTATTCTAAAATAAAGGTTCATGGTATCAATAAAAGGATCAATGGAATACAAATTTTTGTGTTACTTAGTATTTATCTACGGTTCCTATTATTTTCTATTCATAAGCATGACTCACCTTATACATATGGCAAGTCGCTGCCTTGGGCAAATGACTTCTCTGTTCCTGCAGTGTTTCACCGAATCCTTCTTAACCAAGGAAAGAACATGTGTGAGCTGTTGTCTGCTTAGACGAAAATATTCTTTGAAATTTTCTTCGTCCAAGCTCAGGTCTTTTACCAGAGTACTGTAGGGTTCATATTTGGTCCGATTCAGCAGCAATCTATGAACCCACCATCTATGTTTCTTTGACCGTTTTTCCTTTGATTTACGCATGATCTTATACAAACCCAGGATGTTTAATAGCAAATCATCTTGTTCATATAAGGTTCGTAGCTTCGATGCACTAGGAGCCATCTTCCCTGTCCTGTTCCCGCTAACAGAAAGACAGCTACATGCAAATGGAAATAGGGGTCTCCGTTTTTCAGGGCAATTTAACGCAAACGCATATATGGAATCCAAGCTTAAGACTGATTCAGGAAACAAATATCAACTTGACTATTGATGTAAACACAGTAATGCCGTTTCTGATTGGAAGTTGCTCGGTGCAGTAAATTGTTATTCCGATTCTAAAATGCTCATGGTAGTAACATTTTGAGAAATGGTATGAGTCTGTGAGTACATTGCAAATATAATATGTAATGCTTTAAAAGTTTTCCTGAGAAATAATGGCTTAGAAGATCTTCAAAGGCTTAAAACACCCGGGACTAGCGATGTGCCTGCATTGATTAGCGTAAATAAAATAATAGCCCTTCAAAGTTATTGGTAGAAATTTCTCATTTGCTTTTTATAAGATGCATTTCTCACTCCTTGCAACTTGCCTAGTTTCATGCTGCCAGTGAATGGTTGCAACGAAACCTAAATTTGTTACCTTCCCGTGAAAGTCATTATGAGGAACTCAACACAGGGCCACGGTCGACATCCATCAGCTAAATCAAGAAAGGATGAGAAAAACTAGATCGGTGAGTGAAGTTATAGTTCATTCAGGCTGCTAAGTTGTCCTTCCTCTCACCCCTAAAATTCCTAAATCAATGCCTTATGAGGGATCACACTATAATCATGGGTGACAGCAACGGATTTTAAGATTCCCACAATGTATAAGTTATCACACGGTGCACTCTGGCTGGCCTGGTTTTGATTGTAATGTACACTTCTTTTTTTTCTCATGGAAGTCATATATTTTGAACATCACATTACCTCTCTCAACTTTGCCTCTACTGTTAATGCATATTTTGTCTCCGTCAGAGCTACCATTCAGTAAATAAATTTGAAAGTGACAAAATTTTATTAACGTTCATTACATATCAAGATACTGTAATTTTAAATCTTTAGACAATGTGCTTCTAATCTCTATTATACATACAGTATATATCACAGTCGGAATCCTTATATCCTAATTAACCCTACAGTGAATACTTGTGTGGGAAATATAAACATTCAAAGTTTCTTTAGTTCGTTATGTTGTGGAAAACCTCCTGAGAGATGCCAGTCACTAAACTATGTTCTTCACAGGTAAACACTATATTGGACTTCTTATCTGTCAAAAACAACCGAACTGATTTTTGTTGGCTGGTAAGATTTTTTTATTTTTTATTTACACAGTAGAGTTACCCCTTTCTCAGCCTTTCTTGTCTTCACAGCTGCATATTTCTAAGATTTATTTTTACTATGATATCACTAGAATTTTTATTTTTGTGTGTGTGTGTAAATCGTGAAGTTAAATTTCGTGATGAGAACGACGTTATATATATTCAGATAATAGATCGACTTGGGGCCTTGGTCCTTCTCCTGACAGCATGATGCGCGCGGTCTCTGGAGATCTCGGTAAAAGTTAGATTAACGTAACAACTATTGTTAATTTTCACTTGCTTAAAATCACAGCTGTCCAGAAGTAAACAGTGAAGAAGAGGACGACCATGGGGAGGCCGAGGAGTCTGTACCTCTGCAGTAACTTGAGAGAGACCGACTCTTGCTCAGGGACGCCAGTTGTTACCGTCACATTCCTTTTATTGAATATCTTATTTTTGGGTCCAGGCCTGTCAACGAACACATGTATCATGATGTTGATGAAAAGGATGAAGATGATAAAGAAAAACCAAATGTCGATGAGTTTGATGGAGGCCGTTGTGGGCAGGGAACGAGACATGTTGGCGAAGAGTGTGTAGAGGACAAGCAGTGTGGTGAGGGACATTATAGCCCTGACGTTGAGAGCTTTCAGGTCAACGAATAGCGTCGCCCAACTCACTATCAACAACATAGCCGAGGGAATAAAGTTTGAAAACACAACAATACCCTGACGACGATGTAACTCGAACTCAACGCTAAGCTGATTACCTCCAGAGGCTCCCCCAAACGCAACCCATTCAATAGTGTATTTGGACAGCTCCCTGGGCCCCATGTAGGTAGCGGATCCGTTTTCAATAGAGAGTTTGACGTAGTCTTCGTGTTCCGGGGGCAGCTCCAGGTCGATGCTGCACACCTGGATGTCGAAGGGGTAAGCGTAGAGCTCAAAGTAGCAGGTGACTCTCGCTGTGTAACGCTGGATGAGAGAGAGTTTGTTGGTCTCTCCCGGATACACTAGATCTGTTGAATCACAAGAATCATTATTAACAAAGGACTCCTACCATACTGAGTCTATGAGAATATTAACATAAAACATTGAAAATTAGAACACAGATAAGTTAGCGTTGATTCATTACAACTAAGTTTCTATAAGTATGGAAATTATATTTGATCTGGGAATATATGCAAAGGGATGAAACTCAGCATTAAATAAATAAAACATCATTTAACGAATTTAAAGATTCTTTTCACAAAATATCCCAACTGAAAATCTTTATCCTAGTGATAAAAATTATACAGATACCAAGTCTGCTATAAAACATCGCATTATATGTAATTCACGGAAGGAAAATAATGATGGAATATACACATGTGTAGATCACTATTACACTCCTTAATCGGTACAGAATCCACACGAAAATTTATAATTCTGTATCGTCAAGGAAATACAACCAGACCAGCTATTTGCAATTTAAAATTAAGTTGATACATTAATAAGTTGTTTATTTTAACCTATATGTTGCATCTGTTTCTTAGAAGACTAAATCTTTATTCATCCAAGTAAGGGCAACTTTGACTCGATGTAACACATGGCAACAGTTGTGGAACTCTAGTCTTATAGTTCACATTATTCACGGTGTGTCTTCTCAGAATATATGGATGTTATTCAATTCACTGTGAAGGTCGATGTGTGTGTGTGTGTGTGTGTGTGTGTGTGTGTGTGTGTGTGTGTGTGTGTGTCATCAGTTGTAGCAGATACCATACCAAGTAGCTGAGTTGTTTCCACTCACCCATGTCAACATTGTTGAACTGAGGTAAGGTGGCGTTTTGGGCGGACCTGACCATGAGATTTTCGTTAAGCAACTGTTTTTGGCCACCCTCCAAGTTCACCAGCTGGTAGCGTGGTTTCCACACTTTCTCGGCGTCCGCATTTGTCAAAATAGTGCCGTTCTTCTTCTCATTTAAGTGTCGTAGCCTTAACCTGTCGTCCGTCCAGGTGAGGGTGAGGCGGAACTCCAGTGTGATGGCCATATTGATGTCGTCGACTTCCGCGATGCGAGTGATAGTTAGTCGTGGGACCAGTATAAGGACGGATCCTCCCGGTCCCGGGGGTGGCAGCTCCCTTTGCAAGTCGTCCACCAGCTCTACGACGCCGCAGTCCACCTCATCGCTTCCGTCAGGGCAATCATAACGGAAGTTACAACGCAGATAAGGTTGGATACAGTCCCCAGTGTTACAGGTGAAGAGATGATCTGCACACGGAGCTAAGCTAAGAAGTACAGTAGTGTCCTCGGCCTTACCACACACCTCCTTTGCAACTTTCCAAGAATGCTTTCCAACTGGGTAATTTTCTTTTCCTGTGAGCAAGGCCCACATTAGTGTCGTGTTAGTCACCGTGTCAACTAGTAACCATCTTTTATTTGTTGCACCCCATATTATCACTTTGTCATAATATCCACGAAAGTAGGGACGGTCATTGATGTGCTTCTGAATCCTAAACCTCATTCGGAATTTGGAATCGAAGCATAAACCGCGGAGGTATAGAAAATCAGTAGTCTCCAGGTAACAGCCTGTACATCTTTTATTCGTGCATCGATCTCCATCCCAGAATCCATCAGCCTTCATTGAAGCACACGTGTAGGACGACCCGGCATTGATTAGGGGAAATTTGAGGTACGTCAACCTCTCGTTCGTGTCTAAACTCCTCCACACTCCGTCTTCTGCATCGTCGGTGATACCTATCCACATCTTCCAGGTGGCCGTAGGGACACACACTTCCTTGAAGAGCGAGAGCTGCTGCATGAGTTCCTCATTATCAGATTCAGTCGTTGGGATTGCCAGGGTGGCGTTGACCCGGCGACACATCCTGCTTGCCTCCTGTACCGTTCGCTCCTCAGGAAATATAACATTGTTCTGCAGGTTTCTGAGAGAGGGGAAAAAAGGTAGCAGTTATAAATTAACCAATATAGTTATAAAAAACATTAATTTAACTCAAAATTTAACAGCGCTAAACAATGAAATGGTAAATAATTATATAACAAATATTAACCAGATGGAGTCTTACAGGATACTTGTGAGCATTGGATACCGGTAAGTAAGAGTCTACAGAATATTAATGAGAAGAGAGCGAGTGTGATCCTTAAGAATACTTACTGGCAGAGGCTGGAGAGATTCTGCCAGTAGTCCTGCACACCCACCACCTCCAGCTGGGCAGTGTCGGAGGAGAAGAGGTTGCCGTGCCCCAGGACCTCACAAGCTGCCATGTCCCGCACCTCCCATGGTAACAATACTCGATCCCATAGCGATATCTGAGTCAGGTCCCCCCGGAAGATCTATAAAGGATAAATGATGATAATGAAAACAGGGATCTCAAGAAGATTAAGAACCCTCTTTTATTTCACCTAATATTAAACACAAAATGCTGAATGTAGTTAGGTTAGGTTGTTCTGTACATTAAAGGTTAGTATAACATCATTTAGACGTATACAAGTAAACATAACTACACTAGTGGTTGAGATGTGAAGCAGTGTGTGTATGTGTTTGTGAATAAGTCGTATTTGTAAAAAAATGAAAGCTAATTGTTTTCATACTTTGTAATGATCATATACGTACATATTAATACTATTAGCCTCAAGTCCTTTTTATGATTTACAAATATTAATTAGATGCAAGATGTTTTTTTCCTTTAAGCGTTGACTTTTGAAACAACAGCACCCATTCTTCAAGTGAGGCTGGACTGACCTAAACAAGTAGAACTGATTTTTAGAGTGTAACAGCTTCTCGGAATTGGCAACACCAAGCAGGAGTTATTATAGGTAAGGCCTTGACGGCATTGTTAACTATTTCGACAACCCAGTAAACAATATTGCTTAAGAGTTCATTCTTTTTTTAGACGCTGATGATGTCATGGCCAATACATTTCGAGACAATGAAGGAATAGAGATTTATTATATTAGGTAAAAGTTCGCTTGGATTAAGTAAGGTTAGTTAGACGGGTAATGAAGAATATCATTTATAGTTCGTGTTACAATTATCTAACGTAACAATCAACACCAATATTCCTGGGTGTTGATTAAATTCGTTTGCGACTAATCGGTAAGGGGCGTCAGGCCTTTACTTTGGCCTTGAGCCGCCCACCACATGCCTCTTTATTCTAATGTTCATCCCCATTACTCGTACTTCTAATTGGTATTCCAGGGTATCCATATTTATTGGTCCAATCTCATATGTTTTTCTAAAGACCTTCAACTTCCTAGTCTTAAAACCGAGTGATCTTACGGCCCAAGGATCACTTTGTGTTTCCCGAACAATTGCCTCAGCCACCGGTTTGCTAGGTCTATTATGATAGGACTAGTTGCTTGCATAACATATATATATTCTTATTTATTTTTTATTTTTTTTAACTCTTACCTGGTGTTTGTCAAAGCTGCCTCCCAGACTGTCTTGCTCCTGACCAAACACGAGGGTGCCGTTCATGAGGCAGGGCCACGACCCCACCAGCGCCCCTTTATGCACCTCCTGTAGGAACACACATGGTGTAAGATAACACATGCAATACAGACTCTAATCCTCAGATTATCAAAGATCCATGTAAGGTATTCTTTCTAGGAGTGAAAGTAATTGTCTCCTTGACCACCGTCTCTATGACCGAACTATCAGTCAGTGATCTAGAGCTATCCCAGTGATGATAACGACATAGTAAAAAGAATGATAATGCAAGACAAGGAGTAAAATATGAGATTACTATCAGCAACTTTTACATCTTAATAGCTAGTGACTCACACACTTGTCACGGAAGGAAAATAATTTATAGTAATAACAGCAAAAATGGTTATATGAATCTCACTTGTCAAAACTCGCGCAGTATTTTGTGGAAATGATAAATGGAGCTTGGATTTTTTTTTAAAAGGTGAAGCTTTTGCCATCCAGTAGGAGGTGTAGTCTTTACCTCTCCTTCCCAGTAGAGGGTGTAGGTGTCAGGACCAAAGACATGACAGACGTGGTGCCACTTCTCAGGGAATACGTCCCAGGGAGGGAGGCCACTCTGTTCCTTGTTCTTAAACCAGGTGTCGAAGTACCGCTCGCTGTTACCTGCGACGTGACAGAAATGTGATTTGACCTCTTTGTTACATATCAGTCTTATCTCTTGTCTAACCTAGTCATAGTGCTATGCCATTCCTGTGACTAAGTATTTCGACAACGACCCGTAGGTAACACGGCCTTTAAAAACCTGTGTCCAATCGGCAGGCGCGCCATTGTTGTTCAGATTTCCCCCCAATTTATGAATACGTACTTGTATAGCCTTATTATTCGCTTGTCAACGGGCTTTACAGAAAAATTGTGTCGAAGATAATCTTAATTTTCTTAAAACATCTTAGTGTTCATTTTCAGAGGGAAACAGAGGGCTATATACAATTTTAGCCATACAGTATACTGCTTTGCACCTTGCATACACAGGAAATATAAAGTGACAAGTGCTTCATCTGCATTAAAACAAATACGCATTGGTCTAAAAATATAAATAATATTTTTAGTTACACTGGGATAATGTTGCAACTGTGTCTAACCAAGTTTAGTTTATCAATCATCTTCGCAAACTCCTAAATTGACAGTATTGTACCACGCGATATTGCGAATTTTGGATATATCCGCCAAAAAAAAAGAAAAAGATAAAAATAATAAGTAATATCGTAATTTTTTGCGACAAATTTATTCTTTCCATTATAAACTAAAAAAATCGTAATATCGTAAGAAAACATAAAAATTTTGGTGAAACTAACTAGATTAGTTACTTATGCCTGAATTTCAATATTTTCGTTTTCTCCATCTTTTTCGTCAATATAGATTTTCGAGTGCTTTCTCTCAACCAATGATGCAAAGAACTGGTAAGATGATTAAATATCACAATATATGAGCTACAATTACTGCCACAATCCATTACCCTTAGTTTGCTTGATAATAATGCAAAAAAGATAGGTCTCATCAGGTTCATATGATAAAACACCTCAAAAGGATGTATATATTCGTATTTCTCCTCCATATGTTCAGTGTTTGATAACTACGTGACACTAGGAAGAGGCAGCACAAAGGAAGCCAAAACCAAGGAACATTTACAGTCTCGTATGGCTCAAACCTGCTCGACTAAATTATTACTGTTATTTACCTTAGATCCAGATATCAACATGAGGTTAATTACCTTTATGTGTCAAACTAAATTTCCCTGGATTACGTTCTTAGCTCAACACCCAACACAGCCAGTAAGGTATCTACAGGAATCACAGCTATAACTAAGCTCTTAAATTACCATTCTTAAGTCTTGTGGGACATGACAGGCAAACTTATAATCAGACAGACAGAAAGTTATATATAAACAGATTGACAGAAACAAGTATAAACCGACAGATACGTTTATTATACCTAAGGACAGACATAAAGACAGACAAGCAGGCAGGTAAATAGATTTGCATGTCGATATGCAAATATGCGTTTGTGTGTATGCGAATGTAATTCTGTGCCTGCGTGTGTTAGTTGTGTGTGAGTTATGTGTGTGTGTGTGTGTGTGTGTGTGTGTGTATTTGTCAATATGGCGCCTTTGACAGACTGCCTGCCTGCCTGTCTGTCTTTATATACATGTCAGGTATCAGGGCAAAAAGAAGACATACAGTTGACATGATGGTGAGCATACTCTCACACCATCGTAGTGTTAATCTTACTTCTAATGATAAAAAACCTCAACTGAAATCCATCCACTTCCTATCTCGCCCTTCATGTTTCAAGCTGTCAATGTACAATACATACGAGTATTCTCTTTGAGCATATTTAATAGTTATTGATATTGATGCTGTTTTTGCTGCTACAATTTTTACTTCATTTCTTATAGATAGACCTTTGGTAGTAGACCGAAGGGTGGACGTTATGCTCAGTGTTGATTTTGTGTTGGAGGTGATGTACAGTGTTATTCGGGAGACTGGGGGAGTCGGGCGGGAGGAGGGGGATGGGCAAGGAGGGGGCGGGTGGGAGGAGGAGGGGAGTCGGGAGGAGGGGGGGGTCAAGTGGGCGGGAGGAGAGACGGGCGGGAGAGGGGGTGGGAGGGGCGGGAGGGGAGTCCGGAGCTTGGAGGGGGGAGTTTCAAGTCGGGCGGAGGAGGGGGAGACGGGACGGGAGGAGGGGGGCGGGAGGAGGGGTAAGGGGGGAGGGGCGGGAGGAGGGAGACGGGCGGGAGGAGGGGGAGGAGGGGAGGGCGGGAGGAGACGGGCGGGAGGGGAGTCGGGGGAGGAGGGGGGAGACGGGCGGAGGAGGGGGAGTCGGGCGGGAGGAGGGAGACGGCGGAGGAGCAGGGCCTTCGAAGACATTATAAAGCTATCAGGATTTAATTTTTTTTAAAGGAGAATTGTTGGGTTACATAAAATTACAGTACAGTCTGCGTAAATCATAAAAAATACTACTACTATTATTATTATTATTATTATTATTATTATTATTATTATTATTATTATTGTTGTTTTATTGTTGTTTGTTATTTGTTGTTGTTGTTGTTGTTGTTGTTGTTGTTGTTGTTGTTGTTGTTGTTGTTGTTCCATAGTTACAGACACAGGCCGTTTTCACTGTCTTGATTATTTTCTTTATTTATTTTACTTTTAGTTTATTCATATATTCTTGTAGCAATTACAAGAGTTAAGACACACACACACACACATACAGTACATACAAACTAACCAAAGTAGAAGGGATCAAAGTTGTCATTGGTCGCCTTGTAGGAGATGTGGACATCAAAGGATTTGGAGAAGGACTCGAACCTGTAGGAGAGGAGACACAGTTGGTTGTCGTAAGCCACTAATCACCACTATATATCTACTTGCTCTGCAACATTCACCTTCCTCATGCTGCAACACTGATCACCCTTATAATGCAACATTC